AGCCCTTCCACCAAAAGGAGAGCCAGGCTCCATTCTGGTTCCTTCTCCTCTGCAGGGAGAGGAGGGTGGGCAGGAGCAGGAGGGCAGCGGGGCCCAAGCCCAGGCCAGTAGACCCCGGTTGCCAGAAGGTTCTTGCCACACCCCTCTGTCCCTGGCCCACCTGGCTGGGGACAGGTGCAGGAGCTTCCCTGGGGATTCAGCCAGCCTCTAGGGCTGCTTTGCGCGAATTGGGAAAAGGTGCTCCCTCTCTGCAGACACAGCCCCTGCCAGGACATTGGGCTTGGCCAGGGGACCCAGGGTGGGTTCAGGTCCCACTTGGCCCACCCCCTCCCCTGCCAGGGTGCCTTTGAGAAGTGCTCACCTCACACAGCCTTCTCTAAGGGCCCCACCCGCCTGTCTTTCTGCAGGCCAGCCAAGCCCCCCAAAGCTCTTCACCAGAAGAGATTTATGACAACTAAATGAGGCTCCCCTTCCTTCGTCCTCCCCACCCTCGGCCCCTTCTCCCTAGCATATGCGGGGAAAGAAAAAGGACTGAAAGAGACTGGAGTGCCTTTTGCAAATCATAGCAACTCTTCCCTAGAGAACTCAGGCCCTGGGTGGCTGAGGAACCTGCCTTGGGAGGTGAACGTGGAAACAGCTATAGCCAGATGGGCACACTGTGCCAGACCGCAGCCCAGGTGCCCAGCCCCCGCCCCTGCACTCAGGTACTTGTCTTGTCATCCCGGGCCTGTGTCTTGGTGGCATCTGTGGGAGAAGAGAGGCCTCGTTCTGGACAACGGAGCAGGAAAGTGAGGGGCAGAGGGGTGCTCCCCTGCCTGCGGGAGGGATGCGGGGCGCTGCCTTGGCGCTCCGTGACAGGCCACCCCAGGACCACACCCGCCCAGGTGCCCAATCCGCTACACTGTGATTCTGTGTCATTTTGCATGGCAGATGTCAATCACATATTAAAAACCACTTCATTTTGCTATTATTATCCCTACTTACCCACTCACTGGCTGAAAGTCCCTGCAGAGGAAATTGGCTCTTGGTTCTGTCTCCGACCCTGGCCTCATGACCTGTGAAGAAATTCCTTTTACTGTGCTTTCTTTTCAAACCTCCACAGAGAAACTGCTTCCCACCAGCCCAGCTCAGCATTCCCGCCTGCACACACACTGGGCCTCCTGCAGCTCTCTGCCTCACCACCCCCCCCTCAGGCCCTGCCCCACCCACACCGCCTGCCTCGGCTCCCACCCCTTCTTCACCTGGGCAATGGCCCTTTCATGGGCTTCCTTGCTGCCCCTGCCCTTGTCTGCTGGCTTATCAGCATCGTAGGGACAGGGCCCCTTAATGACTGCCCTTTCTCATTCCCTTTCCTCTCTGGGATTAGGGGCAGGGGCAGGTTGTGGGGTTAGGAGGACAGGGAGGGGTGCACTGAGAGGAGACAGAGTGCAGGGCAGCATTGTGGTGTCCACTTGGGGCTCTGGCACAGGCCTAGCCGCCCCAGACTCAGCACCCCTGAAGGGCAGTACCACACGCGCCCCAAGTCCTCACCACCAGAGCTGCAGACAGGCCCCCATGCCTGCCTGTCCCTTCTTCCCCCTCCCCCCTGCCCCACTCTGTCTCACCACAGTTTCCCCTTACAGCTCTGACACACGTTCAAGCCATTAGCCCCTTATCTGCTGGTCTCCAGCCTCTCCCCTCTTCTGGCTTCTGGCCAGCAGCCTGTTCTGTCTTGAAAACATCCCTTTCTTGACCTGTTGGCCCCTTCCTGCTATTGCCTCATCCTGCCTTTCTTTGACAGCCAAACCTCTTAACCAGGGGTGTCTGCACACTCGTTTCCCACTTCCTCACCTCCCACCTCCCTCATTCTGGCTTTGGCCCCTCCAGACCCTTGAGGCTAGCCTCTCACAGCCACCTCTGACCTCCTTGTTGCTAAATCTAGTGGACACTCTTAACTCCACATCCCACTAGTCTGTGGACGGGGCCTGACACTGCCAACCACTTCCTCTTCCCGACACACTTTCTTGCCTTGGCTGCTGGACACCGCAGTCCCCAGCTTTCCCTTCTGGCGTTAGCTCGTCTGGATCACAAGCCCAGCACCCTCTCCCTCCTCCGCGTGGTGCTGCTCACTGCTGGCCCTCATGTGCATCGTCTTCACAGCCAGCCACGCTGATGACTCCCACTTCTGGCCTCAGGTCCGCATTCCACTGCCCTCAAACTCAGCGGGTCCACAACGGAGCACACCATCCTTCCTCCCAAACCATCTCTTCTTCCTCCCCAGTCTGGGCCAGGAATGGGCCTCACTTCCTCCCAACACAAGTGCCAGAAACCATTCCGGACGCTGTCCCCCCTTTATATCCAGATCAGTGATGACATCTGACCCTTTCCCTGCTCGCCCCTTGGTGGTTCCAGCCCCCTCGCCTCGTCGGGCTCTCTCCCTCCATGTTCTGCTCCCCATAGCACAGCTGGAGCAGGCTTTTAAAAATGCCTGTTTGATTCTAACACTCTTTCGCCTGAAGGCTTTCAATAGCTCCCTGTGGCCCTCAGGAGTAAATTCAACATTTATATCATGTCCTGCCAGGGCCCTGAGACAGTACCTCCCCACTCTGTCCTGCACACGGAAATACTGGCCACCCTTGGTGCTCCTTGGCCTCATGACCCCATCCCACCTACCTTTCCTCTGGGACACTTCCCCAGCTCTTTGCCTGGTTGGTGGGTGCTCCATCCACCTTCACCTCCCAGCTCAGCTGGCACTCCCCAGGGAATCCTCCCAGAGCACCTGCCTTCCTCTGTGCTCCCAGGCCAGGCACCTCTCACAGCCCCTCCTGGCCCCCTGCTAACCCTCTGCAGCCTGAATGGATACATGCCCCCTTCCCCTGGCCGTCTCGCCTGGAGACCGTCCTCGAGCCCAGAGCCCAGAGCCCAGAGCCTGAGTTGAAGGAATACTTCGCTGGGTGTCAGGGGTCGGTAAACTTTCGGTGCTCAATGTCTCATGGCCAGTGGATGGCCACGATCTGATCATGGGATGAGTCCCACCTTACCCCATCTTGCTCTCCCCACTTACTTCAGGAAGACTGCTGGGAGCACTTATTCTGAAAGACCTCCCTGAGCGCTTGCTGCATTTGGCGCTTGCGTGATCCTGAGGGCCACAGCCCTGCCTCAGGCAGCTCCAGGCAGGCCCAGCTCTCCTCGAGTCCAAGCTGTGCCCACGGGGGCCTCACCTTCCTCCTGCACCGCATGTCAAGTGTCCAGACCTTCTCTCCTCTCATGGCTTCCAGGTTGGCCCAATGCCCAGTCGGAGGAAGGGCGCTGAGGGAAGAGGCCATATTCTTTTTCCTTCTAGTCCCCCACAGGGCCCAGAACAGTGGCGGGGCAAAGCATCAGGCCCTGTGCAACTCCCACATCGGTCAGAGACTGACCAGGGCACCTTTTCCAGCAGGGTAAGGGCCCCTCAAATAGGCTATGATGCGCCACCTCATTCCAGCCTGCTCATTGCCCTGTGGGCCTGCGTCTTGAACTGTCACCGTGAGGAGCGTCCTCATCTACAAACTGGAAGAAAGAGCAATGGCGCCGTCCAAAAGGAGCGGGCTCAGCGCCTGGCACCCAGAGCCTTCAGCGGAGTCAGCTCTCCGAGCTATTCACCATTGCAGATTCTCCCCTGGAGAGGGCAGGCCAGCTGAGGCTCGGAGGCAGCTGGCCGCCCATCTGTGGGAGAAGTGGTTTTTCCTCAGGGCACTTCTGTTTCCTTCCCAGCTCAGGGCCATGTGCAGCTCAGGAAATCAAAACCCAAATGAATGCCCTGAGGGGCCAGGAGCTCCCTCCTGCTCCCTGCTCCCTCGTGAACAAGGCCCTGAGACCCTAACCTTCCTTCCCTGGCGTTTCTCTCTCCATCCTTTGCCTGTCTGAGCCAGAGATAGCTGAGCACTGCCTTATACATATGTACAAAGAGATGGCCAGCCTCTGAGGCCTGCCACCCCTCAATCAATGTCCCTCCCCACCTCCGAGAGATCGATAGAACTAATACAGCAATCTGGAGCCTGGACGGTATAGTTCATGAACCTGCTATTTATATTCCTCCCAATTTCTCTCTGTGCCTCCAGCCCTCACCCATAGCACCAGCCCCCATCCCAAGTGGCAGCCGCATGACAGTTGGCCTCCCTGGACCGGAGACCCTGGAGGGTGAGCGGGAGGAGGCGAGCTGGGCACTGTCACCCTCAGCTGGCTGACGGACGTGGAGGTCTTAATGAATATGAATCTTCTCCTCCTCCAGGAGCCGGCCCCATCGCATTCCTTCACACCTCGCCGAGCCTAGAAAGGTTACTTAGAATTAAATGTAAATCACATATTTACTGGTATGAATCAGATCGCACTGTCACTTTCTCACAACAGAGAGTTTATCACACCGTAGCCCCGAGGGTTTCTGCTCTCCTGTGGCTGCACCTGGGCTCACAGGAGAGCCGCTCACAGCCCTTGGATATGGGGGTGAGGGTTGGGGTGCTCAGAACCTGGGAAAGGGCAGTGGGCTCAGTGGGACAGCTGATGCCGGTGTGTCCAGCCCTTTGGTGCCCAAGTCACGGCTACTTTTGATATCACATCCGTTGTCAGCGGGCACCATGGTCTAGGCAGTGCCTTACGTGCTGTGGCTGTTTGATACATATTGAATTACCACAGGAGCATCTCTACTAAAAGGCTGCTGGCAGCCACCTCCCTTCCCAGACTCACCTGTGTTTCAGACACATGGGAGGGTTTCAGTGATGTTGTTCCATGTTGAGAGGCAGTGGAGCGGCAGGACCTTTGCAGCCCTGAGACTAGGCTCAGAACCTGGCTCTGCCACTCGCTCACCAGGACGGCAGACACTTCACCCTGATGCAGGTTCTTCTTCTATAAAGTGGAGCCCGATGCAGGTTCTGCTGCCCCACTGACGTATTGTTTGTGGACGCATTTGCCCACAGTAGGGTACTCTGCAGAGGTGAGGAGCAATGACCACAAGCTCAGTGTAAAGGCCACCAGACAAGGAATAAAGGGACCCAGGTCTCAGCCTTGATTCTCTCACCTCATGGCTATGTGGTCCTTAGAATAGCCTTCCGCTCCTCTGAGCTTCAGGTTCACCTCAGCAAACTGGAAATAATGAGACCTTTCCTGATGAAATGAGGCCCCAAAGATGCAAGAAAGACAGATCTCTGCAAACTATAAAGTGCTGAGCACAGCTAAGGAGCTCCGAGTGGGTCAGTCCCCTCAGCCGCGGCAGGATGCCGGGGACAACCGCTTTCTCCAGGATGTCCCTTCCCTCCCGAGCCTACTCACTCGGAGGCCGGCCTCCAGGTAACACCTGTGCATTTGGAGGGCTCTTTGCAGTTTACAAAGCACTGTGTGAGGCTGGAGCTTGCAGTTTACTTAGGAGGACACATAAGCGTTGGGGCTCCTCACAGGGAGGTGTGCTGGGAGAGTTGGTTCCTCTGCCTAAATTTGTGCCAGAGCGCCTTCCCCAGAGCCAAATGGCCACACTGGGCTTTCTCAACTGAGTGTGTGTGTGTGTGTGTGTGTGTGTGTGTGTGTGAGAGAGAGAGAGAGAGAGAGAGAGAGAGAGAGAGAGAGAGAGAGAGGTTGAGAGTTTAATCCAAGAAGCAAATGTCATTTCCATGTATCAGGAAGCCTCTTTTCACCAATTTTAAAGAACAAAGCTCTCTTGGGCTTAAAGGCAGGAATGTTCTTTTTATAGCCAATCCCAGGCTTGGAAAAGCTCTGCCTTTGTTTAGGTGCTCAAG